ATTTCTGTGGGCTGTTGATGACTAAACATGGTAAATTAAGCAGAGCGAGAGAATGGTGATGCAGAGGGTATCTTTGAGGGCTTCCAGCCACCTCCCTTTCAAGACTTTGGTCACACCCTGTGGAATTGAGACCTTTCTCCACCTGTTGTTCTTCTCCAGTAAGGACTCAGTACTGAATTCATGAACTGGGAGTCCTCACACTATCCTCGTGCTCCATTTCTGCAGCTCCTATCTACAGCTAAACACTGCAAGCAGTCAGCAGCAGTTTTCTCCCAATGAATATATGAGGTGCGGACTTAATTGAGAGGAGGCGTTGCTGCAGTAGTTGCTAATAATGCATGATGCTGGGACCTCTGCTGAAGGCTCAGGCAGCAACAGTGTAGGTCATACTTGGTCTAGTCATTTAAATACAAGAGCATCATGAAGTCTAGATGCTGTCTGCCTCAAAAGGAACAGATGCGGTCAGATCATGAATTGCAACCTCCATGTCCAAAAGTGGGCCTCATCAAATGATCTGATCATTGTCATTTCAGTTGCTGCCCTTGTGTTTATTTCTCCCTGGTACAGGTGAAACATTCTTTGTGTATTCACAATAACTTGCTCTTTCTTGATGTAAGAGTTATGAGCCTATTGACCAACTCTCTTTTCAACACTGTATATCATTCTGTTGTACCTGTAAATGTACATTACATTCTGATTGCAGAGTGACCTGAGAGGCAGTGTAGGGAGGAGGGAGATGAAAGATAAGCTATGTTTTCAGAATGTTGAGAGAATTGGAATATTACACATGCAGGCAAGGCTTCTAACTGGAAGTGTGATCACAGCATTTTGAGGTTAGTAAGCCTGAAGCAAAATCCATAATGTAATTACTGGTTCATATGAATCTGATGGACCAGACAAGCTTCAATCTCCCGGTTGGACCTCAGCTGAAACTGTTGATCAGAATGTTGCTTCACTATCACTCAATAACAACAACTTGGCATATTATAGCCTCTCTAAAATAACAAAACTCCTAAACATACTTCACAGTTTGTAATCAGACTCTAGTAGCAAGGAGCTGGGGGGAGGTGACCAAAGGTCTAGTTGAAGAGGTAATTATTTTTCGAAGTACATTGAAGGTAGTACAAGGTGAGGATGTTTAGAGAGATGCTGTGTTGTTTCTTTCATGGTAATTAATCATAATGACACTGCAATTTGCATCTTTTTTCTCTTGGGGATTTTATACAGTTTAGCAATTACTCTGATTGAGGAATATTGTGGGAATTACTGTCATTTTTAACCATCAAGATGTGAATGCTTTTCATGTTCTGGAATGATGATGAATGTTCAGTGATTAATATTGTTAAGCAGGAATAGGAAGGATGAACAGAACTTCAGGAGACTTTCTCCCATTGATTGAACTTGGAAGAAACATGATAATTCACTTGAAGGACACATACTGATGTGTGACCTTTTGTTTCTAGCTTTGTTGTTTCTGCTGTGATGGTAATAACCATGCGACAAAAACATTGGCCCAGAATTTGGAGAGTCACATCATTGTAATGGCTAGGCTAATCTATGCAGAAACTACCTGTGTTATTGTACAGAAGCAGTTGGAAATCATGGTGTAATGAGATACACCTCTACTAATGTCACTATTATTTTCTGGGATATTTGTGCAGTTTCATCTTCCCCTTCATCAAAAGTGTTGCTTGGCCACTACCCCTGCTGACAATAAATTTGCTAAACTAAACCAACTGTAATTACCACATGCTCTTTGATTAATAAAGACTCGCACTGATTTCTAATTTTGACATCTTGCTATAGGTTGACAAGTAGGACAAAAGTGTGTTTGAAGGCTCCCAAATTAGGCTTGAATCCTGATGTGCCAATTTCTTGCTCTACTGCTTATTTCTGCTGATTCTTGTTTGAAGTAGGACCTCCTTCACCTTTAAACATGATACCCTGCATCAGAGAAGGAATGGCTGGTGAAGAGGCTTCTTAGCTGGCCAAGTATCTGATTGTTAACCAGTACAATGCCAGGTGAGAAGAGGTAAACCAACCTCCTGACCAGCAGATATTATCCTTGGTCTAGATTGGAAAGAGATCAGCCAACTGGCATGGGAAAATTGCGGCCTTGCAGCATATATGTCATTGATTAGTCAGCACCACTCTTATGGCCTTTTCTTGCTCTGGTAGGTGCCCAAGATGAACTAATATTGGCACATATACCCAATAGTATATTGAACTGAAGAAACTGATGCTGAACCTGAATACTCCAGCAGCATCAATAGCAGGGCACATTCCACAATCAAAAAAGGAAATGCTGGAGAAACTCAGCAGGTCTGGCAGTAGCTGTGGGAGGAAAAACCAAGTTAATGTTTTGAGTTTAAAGGCTGAAAGGAAAATTAAGGTTTTTATGCTGTTGACAAATGTGGGGGCCCGCAGTGGATGGAACAGATGGTAATGGTGCCCAGAAGAAGAGACAAAGGGAATGCTAATGGTTGTAAAGAAGAGGATGGAAAATAGGGGTTAATGTTAAGTTTGAATAGGAGAAAATAGGTCAGTTGTGTGAGACAAAGCCAACAATACACAAACAACTCAGATAGTAAGAACTGACGATGCTGGAGTCAGAGATAACACAGGGTGGAGCTGGAGGAGCAGGAAAGTTGATGTTTTGGGTCAGGACCCTTCTTGAAAAGAGTCTGAGAAGTGTCCTGACCCGAAACCAACAAGACGTGGTGGGGGATGGAGGTGGGTAATCAAAATGGAGAACAGTGTTTATTTTCTGAAGTTGTTGAATTCAGTGTTGAGTCCTGAAAGCTGTAAGTTGCCTAAGTAGAAAGTGAAAAGCTATTCCTCCAGCAAGTGTTGAGTTTTGCTGGAATACTGTAGCGGGTCCAGGATGGAAGTGTTATCATGGGAGCAAGATGTTTTATTGAAATGATAAGCAACTGATAAGGTAGAGTCATTGTTGTAGATGGAGCGAAGGTGTTTTGCATACCGGTCACCCAGTCTTTGTTTGGTCTCACCAATATAAAGGAGACTACATTTCAGCAGTTCGGAAAGTGAGGAGGAAGAATTAAAGGGGCAAGTGTTTAAACTTGTGACATTGTTCTCCATTTTTGCCTTGGGGCTTTGTTTAGATAGGAGACCTCTTTTCTTCTATTCAATCTCATCATTAATTTTACATCAGAAGGGTCTGAAGAAGGATCACTGAACCCAAAACATTAACTCTGATTTCTCTCCACAGTTGCTGCCAAACCTGCTGAGTTTTTCCAGTAATTTCTGTTCTTGTTTCTGATTTCCAGAATCTGCAGTTCTTTCAGTTTTTTTATTTGCTACAGAATTTTAGGCTATCTTCCACTAAGTGAGCCATTGCGGACTACTCATTAATGGGCTTGCCAGAACAGTATGTACATTTGTTATGAACTCTGGTTTTGTGTGGGAATCTAGCTTTTACTGCAGGTCTTCGCCACAATTAGAGGATGAGAAAATATATAAGAGACTGTCTCATTCAGAAAGATAATCTCCGAGAGAGTTACCTCATTGTCTCTGCATTGAAACTATTTTCAGGGCTTTTTATTTGATTTATTCACATTGGCTCAGTACAGAATTATATAATACAGAAAGTGACCATTCAATACACTGTGCTGATGCTAGGTCTCAGAGAGGATAAGCTATTAAAGCATCAACCTTGGAAATATTTCCTTCTTCATTATTTATCTCCTCCCTCTTCAAAGTAACTAGCGAATCTGTTTTCACCAATATTTTAGGCAATACATACCAGATCATAACTTGTTGAGTAAAAGAAATTTGCAACACCCTTCACCCCCAGCTTCTATTTAATTATAATTAGTGAAAATCAGTGAATCTTAGTTGAGCTATTACAACAGAAACAAAATGAAAAGCACATTGTATGTGATCGCATAATCTTAGCGTTAGAATGAAAGAGTTTGCATTTATATTGCATCTTTCAAGGTTGGGCTGATGTAAACCATTTTAATGAATACATTTTGAAGTTCAGTCGTTGTTGTTATACAGGCAGATGCGGTGACCAGTTTGTGCACAAGGACTCACAATGGCATGAAATCAATGATCAGTAAATGTGTTTAGATACTGTGGGTTGAGAAATTTGAGGAATTAAACACAAGTTGGTCACAACATTGGAGAAAGTCCTTGCGCTTTTCACAGAGTACCATGAGATGCTTTACAGTTAACTCAACAGAAGCATTGGTTTTATATCTCCCTTAAAAGACTGCAATCTCGAAAGAATAACACTACCTCACACTATACTGAGATTTCATCTGAGATTTGTACTGAGTTCCTGGAATGGGCTCTGAGCCTAGGACAGAATATTACCACTGAGCAAAGCTAACACTCTGAATGTATTTTACAAAACATTATATTCTTCTCTCCTCTCTTCCCTGATTTAAAATTCCTCCCTTCACCCTCCCACTTATTTTTTTAATGTCTCCTTTGTTCTGTTTCTAATTTTCATTTCACTGCTTGTCTCTCATTAAGCTGCTGAAAGTAACCAAGCATAATGCTGGGCAATATAGGTGCCCTCTGACTGCAATCCTGCAGACAGGCAATCACAGTCTTGAAACGAGGCTGGAGTTTGCAATTCCTCATGTGGATGTGTAGATAGTCTGAACAACAGTGGGGAGTCTTAGCATGTCACATATGCTGTTGTGTTAGATTTTCAATATGAGAAGTTGCAGTGCAGCTATATAGTGTTCTAATATGATGACGTAGCAACAGCTTATTTATAGTGTTTTGTGGAAAGGCTAGTTTTGTTTTTCTGTGAAGTGATAATCTGGAGGTTTCTTCTCCCTCTAACCAGCTAAGACGAATGAAAGTGTGACAAAGATTAAATGTTAAGGTGGGAATTCTTGCACATTTCCCATTCGTATAGTATTTTGATTTTATACAAATGAGCAGTTTCCTTATTTAAGTTTTTCTATGTAGACAGCCATCATCAGAATGGTATTTGATATCCCATATCTCTCCCGTTTCAGATTGAAATGCTGGAACACAAATATGGAGGCCATTTGGTATCTCGCCGTGCTGCCTGTACCATCCAGACAGCCTTCCGTCAGTATCAACTCAGCAAGAACTTTGAAAAGATTCGGAATTCCTTGGTGGAAAGTCGCATGCCCAGGCGCATTTCTCTACGGAAGGTCAGGTTACAGAATGCCGAGAATTTAATGGAAGGGTATAACTTTGCAGGAATCCCTCTGGTGCGGTCACCATCATTACCTGCAAGTATCAGTGGGGCTCTGACTGAGCTTGAGGACTCCTTCACAGAGCAGGTTAAATCACTAGCAAAATCAATTGATGATGCTCTGAGCTCCTGGAGCTTGAAGACAATGTGTTCACTGCAAGATGGCAGTAGCTATCAATTCACAGAGACTTTCAGCAGCGCATCAATGCAGGACAGAGCAGGAGGTGAGATGGGGAAAACAGGACAAGTAAGCAGTGATGACAAACTGGAAGATGGCCTTGCACAAAGTGGGAGTACACTTATGATGGCCTTTAGGGATGTCACCTTCCATATTGAAAACAAAAACATGTCGGTTTCTTCCCTCATGGAATCTGCATCAGTTGCCATGGCAAACTGTGAGAGTGCCCCACCAGAACCTGAGCAGAATGCAGTGGTTGCAAAAGGTGAGCAGAGTCCAAGGGAAAAGGAAGAGAAGGGTTCCCAAAATTCCTGTTCAGAACAGGAACAGATGATCGTTCAAAATAATCATCCTTTCACAGAACTGAATAATATCAACGCAAATGGACTCGGAGGGGATTTGGTGGGGCAGAGTCAAATGGCAATGCAGAATATTCAAATTGACCATGATAATGGAATAATGCCAGATTCTCAATTGGAATCTAATCGTTTGGACAATGCAGAACAACTCAGCAGCAGTAGTACAACCTCCATCTCTGCAAAATCTCCATCCGAAGTTTCTTCAAAGGAGGCATTGCATGCCATGATACTGAGCATGCCCAGATACCACTGTGAGAATCCAAGCACCTGCAAATCACCAACTCTCTCTACTGACGTCATCCGCAAACGCCTGTATCGTATCGGCCTCAATCTTTTCAATGTGTAAGTAAACAGTAACAGCAGAATACAAGGTTTTATTTGGAGAAGCAAGTGAGTAATAATATTAATCCAAACTGAGAAAGTCCTCTTGTGGAAAGTTTATTTAACAATCTCCTGAAGCTGAAATGCTGCCTAAAGAAACAAGCTTTTTAAGTTATGATTGTACTTTGCTACAAACTCTCATGCTGTTGCAATTTATGACCACGAAATCATCTTGAGCTTTCTGTCAGACAGCATGGTAGGAACTAATCTGAAACCAGCTGTAGCCCTGATCAAAAGTCTGGAGGACCCAGATCCTCTCTGATTGATCTGTAATTTTTCTCCTGTTTCCAATTCTCTGCTATGGCAGGTACCTGAGATGAACCCATAGGGGTATTCAGCAAGATTGGGTTAGCTCCCATTGATCTCGTATATTAGCGGGGTCAAATGACATGTTTTCTAGTGAATATTCACACTGCATTTTCAGCCTAATGAAGTTTTAGTCCCCTGATCGTTTCTGTTTTTTTTGCTTCCTTTTCAAGCTTATTCATTTTTCCATTTTTTTAATACAGTTGCAAAACATTAAATGAATTGTTAGCTTTATATTCCTTTTTATTGGCTATGTGTTCTGATTCCATTGGACACTTTCTTTTATAAATCTAAACATTTTCAGTTAGATTTACTGTTTTCAGTTTACTGCTATAAACTGCTTAATTTTACTTTCCCTCATTCAATTTAGCATAATTTTCTGATAGTGCCCAAGGTGAATATTTAACATGAAATGATAGACCTCTGAACTCCGCTTTAATTGAAAATGTTTAACAGGTAGTTATACTGGATCTTCTCAATTACTTCTTTTTACTGTTTCTAATTTACAGCTGTTAACAAATGTAAGGATACTTTGTTTTGGTATTCTGTATTGTGATACCATGCTAACAAAGTTTGAAAGACACCAGTAAGTGTATCATGATTTTGCCTTATAATATCAAAGCATTATAGGAAGTCCGGTAGACCACATCTCTGCTTTAAGTATGTATTCTACAAAAGAACTCTTAACATGAACCCCTAGATACATGTCTCTGATGCATTTGTGGCATTCTTATTGTAAGTAAACTGTGCCTGTAAAATTTGAAACAAAATTAATTTTCAAACATCCTCACACTTTTCTGCTAGAAAGTTGAACATAATAAACCAGAAAATGTTCATTTTCAGTCACCAGTTTTGGCCAATCTTATGTTGTCAGTTATAATATCACAGAGTTAACGTTTCGGGTCCGGTGACCCTTCCTCAGAACTGATGGTAGCTGGGAAAACGTCGGTTTATATGCAGGAAATAGGGAGGGGAATGGGGTGGGGAGTAAATGGACCGGAAATGTTAACTCTGATTTTTTTCTTCACAGATGCTGTCAGACCTGCTGAGCTTTTCCAGCAACTTCTGTTTTTGTTCCAGATTTACAGCATCCGCAGTTCTTTTGGTTTTTATTATAATATCACAGAGGTTCCCATGTTTTACCACAAGACATGATACCATTTCAAAATGCTGAGTATTTCCAGCAGGATTTATATATGATTTTGAAAGAATTATTGTAAACTAGTGCTCAGTTTAATTAAGTGGTCGTAAAATGAAAAGAAAATTGACTTCTGCATCAAATATTGATTGTAGATTCTGTAGTGCACATTAAAGGAGTGAATATAAGCATTATGTCTCTACTGAAGGTAGCACCTACTAGACTTTATCAGATTTTATCCTTCTGCAGCGTGGGCCATGCAGGATATTTGTGGTAACTTGTTTGTGAGCAAAATCAGAATAATTTAAAACAGAATTGCAAGTTAGAAAATTATAACTGTATTTCGCAGCATGTTCCATTCAGTGAAGTCGATGATGGAGATAATCGGGAATTGTGCTGACATCGGTTGGCACATATTTGGAAACTAACCCCAACTTGGTTTTATCTTGCATCATACTAGGCCTTTGTTATTCATTGCTAATTGACTGTCACCATCTATTTGGACCTTGTTTCAATTCACATATTAGAACTCCCTTACCACCTGCTCAACATGCAAATGGGTTGCCGAAGTGCAAATGAAAAGATTCATTTGGCAAACAAGTGCATTGTGTTAATAACATATGCAGTCTTGGCACAGCAGTGGTGTTCAAATAGAAAGCAAGTTAATAAGAGAAAATAAGCAACAAATAGACCTGTCTAATGCAATCAGTTTGACAAAGTATTACTTAGTGAATGTTCAAAACCATCATTATTAAGCAGCTACAGTGTTGACGGCTTATTTTGATAAACATGCTTGCAAATGTAGTTTTATCCGTAAAGTCGCAATGTTTGATTTTTTTTCTTTTCTTCCTTTTTTAAAAATGAAAATATCAGAGAATGAAGCAAACTTTTCTATGTATCAACTTTATTTGTTCTGCTCAAGAAAAAGAGAATCTGAGTATTGTCTTTAGTATTGTCTGAGTATTGTCTTGTAGCTAACCAAAGTGTTTTACTCAACCTAGTAATGCAATTTGAACTTTAATTGAAGGAAAATAACCCTAATGGACTATTCTCATGACATTCATAATCATATTCTTGTTGAATGTATTTACAATTTCATTGCAACAAATTGGCCATGCAACTCATCATTGCCTCATCACACATATCAACCAAAATGGAATTTCTCCTTTATACTTCACTTCCAGCAGATATAATAGTTAGTGGAACAACAGTAATAAAGAAAGAAAGATGACCGGTATCAATGTTCTGTATAATAAACCACCTGTATCTCTCAATTAAAACCAAATCTTGAATTAATTTGGGGATCCATTATCCTTCACAGAAACCACCTGATCCCCTCCATTAGATATGCAAACAGAAATTGCTGGAGGAACACAGCAGCTCCCGCATCATCTGTGGAGAAAGAAACAAAGTTAATTATGACTCTTCTTTGAGTTTACATTGTGCTTGTAGTTACAGTCAGCAGTACATTGTAAGTTACCTTATACAAGGAATATTTTCTATGCTGTCTGCTGTAATAGATACCTTCGCAATACCTATGCCTTGTGGTCAATATTGCCTTTAGGCATTGCATCTAGAACTAATCTTTGATGTGGGTGAAAAATTCAGATTCTGGGAACTGGGTTTTAATGCATGTTGGCTGGATGGCACGAGTGATTTTTTGTTTTGTCAAAAGTAAGATGAATTCGGTTTGGATATTTCCACTCAAAATAGGGAGAAGAATGTTTCTTGCAAAAAATGGAAAATTCATAATGCCAATTCTATTCTGTATCAGATCCCGTGGTATTTCTGGTGTATGAATATTTGATGGAGTAATACAAAAGGGCTTTACTAATCATAAATTATTTGTGTAATGCAGTTTGATGGACTCATTGCTCTTTTCTTGTTATATGTTTCATATGTTCCTTCATATTCCACAATACATATTAATCTAAGTTTTGGTGGAATTTAAATGTCCAATGTTAGCAGTTTAACCTGTGAAGTGATCTGCATGATCTACATATTAATAATGTAGTCAATATGAACCTGCTTGTGCATTATGTGAAAAGGAGCCTAGTGTACAATGCATATAGTCCCTCCAGATTGTTTTCATGTCAGATTAGAACTCTTTGTCTCTCCTTCTCTAAGATTAATTGTGGTTGATCATCTGATCTAGATGTTCTCCAAGTCTGTTAGCACCTTTTTCACACAGTCTTAACATGTTCTGGTGGTTCTTGTCAAGATGAAAGAGATTTTAAAAACGTGAGTTTGAATATGTATTTTGTCAATTTTGGATGCCTCCTAAAAATCTGCTCTGTAACTTCTCTTTTAAACAACATCATGACTTCTTGGCCATTTTCTTCTCAAGATTTCTTCTCCAACCATCCAGAATTGCCTTGGAAAGAGGGTAGAGTGAGAAACTAATCTACAGTTCTTGGCCTTCACTGAAATTCCAGCAATAGATCTCTATAAGTTTTTTTTAGTTCCTCCTGTGTGTTGTCAGTGCATCCTACTTAATGGCGTGTTTAATAATGTATTTCTTGTCATCTATCCAGCAGTAAATGGACTAATTAAGGTGTTATTCTGTAGAATGAGTTTGAAGGATTTGTGACAATTGAAGTGTTTTTTTTTGTCATCACTGTTCACTAGCAGGTCAAAAGGAGTTTCAACAATGTTTTGTTTTCATTTGAAGGGCTGCGACACTGAAACACATGCTAATATTTCAGAAACAAAGCAACTTAGATGCTATCAGTAGCCTATTAACATAGTAGTTTTTCTATAACTAAAATTAGTGCCAAACTGTCAAGGTGAAAAATGTGCCCATTTTTCCTTTTTTAATTCACTTGTGAAATGTGAGTATTGCTGATTGGACTAGTATTTGACGAATGCAGCAGGCCAGGCAGCATCAGAGTAGCAGGAAAGCTGACATTTCAGGTCTGGACCCTTCTTCAGAAAATCTTGTATTCAGTTCAAATTCAGACAGCCTTGACTTGAAGCAATATTCTCTTCTATCAAGACAGTGCAGAAATTAGTTATTTCTCTGTGTGTTTCTGTTCCCCTTTGAATGTAGGAAAGGGTGATATTTGGGAGGGCTGGTAGCCACTGAACTGTAATTGCTATCAGAGTTTCAGAAATTATCCTCATTGCTAAGAAATGTGTGTGGGTGCGTTTGCTGTGATGACTTGAGGACTAAATGGGTGAATTGTGTGCCTTAAAATTTCAAGGTGAAATGTGGAGTTGATGGACTTGCCTGAGTTTGGTTGCAATCTCCAATTACAGAAATGTTCAGCTATTTTTGACAGATCAGAGGTTAACATGGTGTAGAGACCTCCAGCTCACCGTATAGTACCATAAACCCCCTCAAGCATATTGAACTACTGGTGAAACCTGGGCAAAAAAAAATATGCTTGCACATAAACATCTTAGACTAAACTTTTCCAGCCTTCAAGAAATATGGGCAATGGTGAGTCAGTTGGGAAAATATGATGAAATTGAAACAAAAAATGAGATTCTTAATATCGAGAAAAAGAAAATGATT